AACAAACTTATTTATAGCACTGGCCTCGCTAGGGGTGGGGGAGAGAGCGGCAGCGAGAAGGAACAGCTCACTTCAGAGAGCAGCTTTCAAAAAGAAAGTTAAAGAGGAATACAATTTTACTAATTACTTCTATAGCACTTCCCTCAGAGGAATCCCATACTTAAACCCACTTAAATTAGCCTTCGCCACACCTCCGGGCTAGGTAGATGGGTATTACTTAGGCTTGACAGAACAGTAGAGTGAAATAAAGAGGTTCAAGACTAGAAAACAGGGTTTGGGGTTCACAGAACTTTTTTTTAATTGAGAATTAAACTTTTTTTCGGCCCCCCCTAAGTTTCCCACTTAGCAGAAGTTACCCGAGCCCTGCAGCTACTGCAGGGAGAGGCACATCAGGTCTCAAATGCGGAGCAGGGACACGGGTAGGAATGTCAATTGTGCAGAGGGGGCTTCCCGGGGCCGCAGCCCCAGGGCGAGCGGGCAGGAATCCAGCCTGGTCCCATCCAAACCCTGCACTGGATTCAGCAAACAAAAAAAGGTTGCTGAATCAAATGGTTTCCTTTGAAAGCCTACTTCAGGCTCAAACCAGCTTTTTTCAATTCAACTTTTGTTCCAGTGGAAATTTTCCAGGCAGCTCTAGTGGACACTAACATCTAAGGGTGCCTCTTGTTTTTGGACATCCATCTCACGACTCCTACAGCCTGATCCTGCCAGGGTACTGAGCCCCCGCAACTCCTGCTGACCCGCAGCTCCTGGTGAACTCAACAGCACTTGCGGATGGGCAGAAAAAGCTGGGGGTGACGGTCGGGCTCCAAAAGCGGCACGTCTAACCCGAGCCCAGAAATCCTGACCTGGGGTCCGGTCTACCCATGAAGACACCCGTCCCCTTATTAACGGTGAAACTTTTTCAGCCCTTGCTGGGCAGGGTGACAGCACCCCACACACACGCTGTGCGTACAAACCTCTCCGTTAAAAGCAAGCGGTTTGTATTAATAGCTCGGTTGCTTGAGACCACGAGTCCGTTACTTGTCCTGCCCAAGGCCCCAGAACGAGCACGAGCACTAGCTGCTCCAGGACCTCGTCCTTGAGACTTTGGATGCACAGTGCAAAATACGGCATTCATTTCCAGTGACTCAGACCTCCACTCCGTGATTCAGCCGCAGCAGAGGTAGGGAGGATTGCCTTATCCAACCCACCTACGACTGAGCTGTGCGCCCGATACCAACAATACTGGGTGTTTCCCTTCAGAGCCAGTCAGCCGCGCAGAGTCACAACTGAAGTTTCAGGAAGATTAGACAGAACTGAGCTCTCACCTAGAGGGACTGGGGCCCAGCGTTTAAACTTGTTCGGTGCAAAGGTGAGAAGGGAGGTGGAAGCAACAACTTTCTGGGCGCTTTAAGGAAGCTTCACTTATTCACGTCGGCATTGCTCATTTGAGTTGAATCGCAAGGCTTTGGGTACTTTCTACGAGACTGACAGCAGGCTTTTGTAGATCGCTAGGAAAATGCAAAGCAATGAAGGTTCCCAGGGTCTGGCGTATCTATAAAGATTGCCAGGTTCCCTTAGAGTCACGGGCGCAGCGCCCAGCATCCTTGCCCGGGCTATGAAACACACATTTGGAACGGATATTAGTCCTGATGACCAGCCAATGGAAAGCCTGGGGGTTTAGGAAATTGGGGGATAGATTCATAGATGCTAGGGTCAGAAGGGACCTCAGCAGATTGAGTCTGACCCCCTGCCTAGGCAGGAAAGAGCGCTGGGGTAAGATGACCCCAGCCAGATGCCTGTCCAGCCTTCTCTTAAAGACCCCCATGGTAGGGTAGATCTTAAAAGGTCACAAGGCAATGCCACTTGTAACCCCTTCTCTTTTCCCAGGTTGAGCTGAAGTGCACCTCTCTTCGGTGTGGGGCTGGAAAGGGTTTATTCCCTTTCCGTTTGGCACTGCCTTGTGTAGAGTTTGCATGCTTTGGCCCTACCTTGCACGCATCCATCACAAGAAAGGGCAGGGAAGTAAGCCCGTTACCGGCCACATGTTTTCCTTGGAATTTCCTGTTAAGCTTCCAAATGGGAAACTCCTATTTCCTGGAGCATTTTGTTCCCCTTGTATCAGATGATTAGTCAGCAAGGAACCAGCTTGATCTCAGGAATGCAAGGAGGAGGAGAGGCGGTGGTGGGACACGCTGAAGATAGCGATGCTTGGGGAGGGCCGGGCGGTGGGAAGGTGCTCCAGTGATCTTTCACATGTGCCGGTTAACTGCTTTCAATTCTGGCTTCTTAGCCACCCAATCCTTCCAGCTATCAAAATCCAAATGGCTGACATCTAAATTTTTGTGCATAGATGCTTGGGTGTCAAGCGGACAGTTCTGCGAACAAAAGTTTAATTTCCCAGCCCTGCGCTGTATGGCTTGAAAACACAATTTCAAATAAAACCAGATTTCATGCAGCACACGTCTTGTGCGCTGTCTCCCACGCCTTCTCTCCAGCCATAAGTTGCTTACTGTGCATGCAAAATGTTTTTAAAGGTTTATGTGCTTAAGAACACAATGAGACAGCCAGACTGATGAGGTGTAATATCCACCCTCCCGTGGCTAAAACATAAGCAACTCGGGAATTCGTGGCGGTCCCATCTCTACGCTAAGGAATCTCTTAAGCAGACAAAGTACTTTCCACTCTTGCTCAGACTATCTTGAAGTAGCAGCAAAGTGAGCGCTGGGCCAAAGCCAACCGAAGCATGGCTGCAGGACGCCTTCCAGCAAAGCACCGGTTCAAGCTGTATGGAGACAGCATTTTCTTTCTTCAAAAACAAGCCGTTGCACGTCAGGTGCCCATCTGCCACCTCTGCGTTACATAAGTGGTAGCACAGCAAGCAGAAATCGGGAAAGGTCATGTGCATTCCCATCACCATCACTTCCCTCAAACCGCCGCAGCAGGACATTCAGACTGAAACTGCGACAAACCAGAGGTCATCCAGTTCCTCCTCTTGCAACACCGGGTCGGGGAATGGGACCATGAACGCACGACTGTATCATGGAGCCAAAATATATTCTCTCCTTCACAGACCGAAGCGTGAACGTGCATATCAGCTTTAGGAAGTCACACAAATAAGGTGGTATTTTTTGCTGAAAATGAATTGCTATAAAGCAAGACGATGCTAACCAGGCAGGGTTGCATCCCGTCTTTGAGTCGGGTGCTTTAAACAGGGAACTAAAACGCATGCAACATGATGCGTTCCTAAGAGCAGTTAACCGGATGCAGAAATAGTCCGCGAAACTGGACTCCCTCAGCCTAGATGCGATATTTTCTATGCAGCATTTAAGAGCATAACAGGGCTAGCTTGATCAAGCACTAAACATGCAAAAAAATGGGAGTAACTAGAGATCTGTTAGAGCCATTTGTGAGGTTGTTAAGATGAGTATAGGTCGAGATGCATCTTGAACCCTAAAAGCTAGCTGCCGTGAACAGTGTCACAAGGCTATCCACCATCTCATACCAAAATGCTTAAGATGCCATCAAAAATGCTCTGTAAACCTGCAGGGCTTCCAGATGGCACCAACCACCTCAGCCAAGTGCCTCACCCCCATGGGAAGAGCTTGCTATACAAACTAAAAATTGGATTTCCTCCTTTTACGATCTAATAAAATGGGAATTATTTATTGAGATTTTACGGGAATACTCTCAACAAGTCTCATCATGAAAAGAAAACCAACTTGAAATACTATAGCATTTCCTCTGCTACCTTGCGTGAACTCGGTCTAGGCACACCTCTGGGACAAACTCAGCTGGCCGTCACACCTAGACAGCCCCAGCATTTGATCCACTCAAGTTCCACGTCTTGCAAGTTATTTAAGCACCGACAAAACCAGCCAGTACCAGGGAATACAACCATCCTTCACTTCACTTGGCTCTGCCTGCGGAAATGTTATAAAAGCGCTTTGGTTCAACTTTTGGGAACCACCCAACTTCCACGCTGCACCTGCTTATTTTAATTACTGACTGGACTAAAACCTCCATTAAAATGCAAGGCAAATCTGACAAATAGTCTCAGCTCCTGACTGCCTGGGAGAGAAACGAAAAAGAGTTTCCCCACCACCGTCTCACAGTTAAAAGGATCGCAAATCAGCTGGGTTTAACGCTTTCATTTTACTCTGTAAATCTAGAGCACACACCAACGGCAGAAACTTCCTTAGCCTGACGAAGGCTTTTTGAACCCGAAAGCTTGCTTAATAATGGTTTTCCAACTATTTAAGTTGGTCTAATAAAAGATATCAGATTCACCCAAAGAACCTTGTCTAAACTTTAAAACACTTTTTGGAGCCATGCAACCCTCACGTTAAACTTGAGCATCCAAATTTGCAGCTGTAGCATAGTGTTTTAGATCTACACAAGTTTCCCCCTCCAGAAGTGTAGTATATTTTTTACTAGGCATCTTTACCGGCATGGATGTAACAGGTAATTACAGGTCTGACCTCCCTCTCTATTGCACAAATATGCCTTCGGAAACCACACCGATAAATATTTGCTCAGTGTGAAGACAGCTCCAAGAGGAACCATTCCAGTTTATCAACTTGACGATTCAAGTTAATACAAGCCTTATTCTATATTTACTTAAGGAACTAGATAACACTTAGGGAGCTGATCTGGCCAAGTTAAGCACACTTCATAAAACTTGAGAGTGCTCCCCTGCACGACGCACGTTCACAGGAAGCATTTAGCCTCCCGCGCTGGAGCCTAGAGCAGAGCTCCAGTGGGCTCCTATTGTTCAAAAAAGAGAGAGACACGGACAAAATAGAACAAAAAAAAAAAAGCAATTAAAAGTCTAGAAAACATGACAAGCAAGGAAGGTCAGAAGAACTGGGACTGCACTCAATGATCTTCCGAGGTCCCTGCCAGCCCTAGCATCTACGAACCCTAGCGTCTATGCACGGTCCAGAAACGAGAAGACTGGGAGACGCCCGTTTTCCAATCCAAAAGAAAACGTTGTTGTAAAGGAGGATGCCGAGAGACTATTCTGTGTCCAGAGGGGACAGGAACAGCTTGCTTAGGTTGCAAAACGTTCACATTGCAAGCCTTTACGTGCAGGTTGGACACACGTACATTTGCTTGGGATGATTTGGGGAGGGATGACCCTGCCTGGAGGAAGGGAGAGGACTAGATCATTTGAGGTTCCTTCCAGCTGTTTGTACAAGCATTGCAGAGACCGAAGGAAAATGCCAAGTATTACGCGGGCTTAATCTCAAAAGACCAAACACTGCTTATGCATTGCATTAGACTCGTAGACAATAGCTGTTTACAATGCCAAGGCCATTTTAAATAATTCAAGGAAATGGTCTAGAGATGAGATAACACCAAGATGAAGAAGTGATACCGCTAATCGTATCCTTGTATACAGCTGGCTACAAAGTTACCCCTTCTCCAGATGCCACTGATGGCATCTGACCAAAATCCTAGCCGAAGGCGCCTACCGAGAAGGGGGTAACCCCTCCGGAGACCGTCAGCACCACTCCTGAACAGACGCACCTTGGCAAAAGCTGGACAGTCTCAGCACTGCCTGCAAATCCTACTAGAAGCCAATGAAATAAAAGTACAACCCCAGGTTATGTCTGCAAGCTGCAGGGCAAACAATCCCCCATCACTAAACTAGCCCAAGTGAATCGCTGCGCCCCTGCCCAACGTGGCCTTTATAGATTTCAAACCTCTGGTGCTAGGCATCTGGGCAATGCTGCACCCCAGACTAATCCCTGCCTCAAATGCAAGCAATCTGCTGAGGGGCCTTTTGCAACCCTGTGGTATGAAATATCCTACAGCACAGCAGTGCTATCAGATGTGGGTTTCCTCGCGTTACGATAAACCCACGAGGAAACCGATTGGGGAGAGCGGATCAATGCTCCGTGCTGAGATGCACAGTGCCTACTTCTCCACCTGGTCGCCCCCCGAAAGATTTGTGCATCGAGAGCCATCATAACGGGACGATGAGCTGGATTCGTCTAACAGGTTTATTCCTGAGGTGGCGTTAGAAGATATTCCATGTGGTGCACGGCATGTATTTAATGGTGGGGGTGTGCACACCAGTGCGGCTCACACTTGGCGTGTTTGGGTTTGTTCTCCGATTACTTCATTCTCACTCATAGTAGCTTTTTCCATGCAAGAGGGAGCTCCGTGGAGGAAGCAATGAAGGGTCAGGGTGCTACTACGGTGGCTGGGGTTGGAGGGGTCCCATGAAATACCGTCCACCTCCGTCACCTCACCAGCTGCAGGGAGTCTTGAAGTGGGTCCAAGTCTCAGAGCATCTGTACCTGAGTTGCCAGCTCCTCCTGTCCACATCCTGCTCCTACCACAAAGACAGTCACGGGGCACCGTTCTGACACCACAGCATGGGTGAAGCATAATCCTGTCTTGTTGCATGGACCTTTCAAGCGCTTCTATATGAAGGGGAAAAAAAGATACGTGGGGTGATCATCAACCCTTGCTTTCCTAGACTGTTGAGGAAATTTAGGACACAACTCTAAACAAGAAGTTAATACTCATTTAATACCCAGATACACTGGAGGGTAGGGCTAGGATTCAGAGAGACCTTGACAAATTGGAGAATCGCACCAAAAGAAAACCTCATGAGGTTCAATAAGGATAAGTGCAAAGTCCTGCACTCAGGACGGAGCAATCCCGTGCGCCGGCGCTGGGTGGGGGCTGATGGGCTGGGCAGCAGCTCTGAAGAAAACGACCGGGGGGTGACGGTGGACAATTCGGTGGCGGCCAACAAAGAGATCCAGCAGCGTCCCCTGTTGTGAAGAAGGCGGACGGCATCCTGGAGTGCATCGGTAGGAGCATTGTCAGCAGATGGAGGGCAGTGATTCTTCCCTCTATTCAGCACTGGGGAGGCCACATCTGGAGTCCTGTGTCCAGCTGTGGGCACCCCACTACAGAAAGGAGGTGGACAAAATTGGAGAGAGTGCAACGGAGAGCAACGAAAACGGTTGTGGGGCTGGGGGATAGGACTTGTGAGGAGAGGCTGAGGAAAATGGACTGATTGAGTCTGCAGAAGAGAAGACCGAGGGGGGATTGAATAGCAGCCTTCACCTCCCTGCTGGGTGGTTGCAAAGAGGATGGAGCTGGGCTGTTCTCAGTGGGGGCAGGTGACGGAGCAAGGAGCAATGGGCTCTGTCTGCAGCAAGAGAAGTTGAGGTTGGATATTAGGAAAAACTCACTAGGAGGGAGGTGAAGCACTTGGACAGGTTACCCAGAGAGGTGGTGCAGTCTCCATCCTTGGAGGCTTTTAAGACCTGGCTGGACAAAGCCTTGCCTGGGATGAAGTAGATGAGGCTGGTCCTGCTTGGAGCAGGGGGTTGGACTAGATGTGACCTGAGGTCCCTTCCAACCTGCATTTTCTCTGACTATTTCAAATGGAAATTAAAGTTGGTTAAAATCCTCTCTTTACAGTCAAAGACTAGGGACTAACGCCAACTCAACCGCTAAAGAGACTTTCCTTCATTTGTGAACGTGTCTGGAGCGGCGTGCAAATATCTGCTCACTCGGAGGGGATCGTATATTCTCCTGCGGTGACACTGAAAATAGTTTTGCAAGGAATCCAGTTCTCTGGGTCTCAACCTCCAAAGGGCACCAGCTCGGTTCAAGAGAGGTGCTCCTCCCCTCCCAACTTTCAAACTCAGTCGAAGTTCTGAATCTTTGTCTCCCTGCAGGACGCTTTGCCACCCGATTTCTTCCTGTAACTACTCTTTTGCAACCGCGGACAGAACTAGAAGTCAGCGGGGGGTGCCTCACAGGGATCGACGGCCCAACTCGGCTCTGTCCATTCAACATACAATGAATAACGCAGCATAACAGCCACGTAACCCTAAAGCCTGTGCTTTAAATCGCATCAACTTGAGTAACTGCAAAGCACAAGAATAAAGCCAGAGTATGAAAGGGACCTCCACTACCCCCTGGTTTGGTTTTGTTCACAGTCCTTGACCACAACATGGTCATGTCTCATCATCATCAGATTCACTTTGATTTAACTCCAAAAATAGTGAAGGACGGCGCTATAGGAATGCCCAGTAGGACGATTCCCTCTGCAAGGATTCGACTTTGCTCTGAAGACGGAAAACAAGCAGCAGCTAAACCAACAAGGGGAGAGGAGCGAGCGTGCCAGACTTCCTGGAACAATCCCATCACAGAGTTATCCTGAGCAAGCAGTTTGCTTCATATTTTAAAGAGAAAACAGGATTAGTTTCGTGTTCAGCCTCATCTGGACCTAATTGCAGAAGCACTCCTGAGGCCCTAGTCCCACCGATTCAGTGGGAGACTCCCCCTCCCGTAACCTCCACACACGAAGGTTGTGCGATTCACGGCTGTCAGCAACTTGGAGTTAATTACACCGAGAAAGAGATTTTCTTTTCCTCCCCAAAGCAAAATATTCCTTAGTGCCAAGCAATGCACGGGGTACCCTGGAAGAATAAGCCTCTGTAAGCACGCTTCTGGTGTGCCTTGAGCTTACCCGCTCCATTAGTGCCCGCATCCAGCATTTGAAACAAAAAGTTGTTTTTTGGGGGGGTTTTAATACTTTTTCAAACTCTGGCTTGCATATCCCATGAAAACTGTCCTTCTGAAATATGATTGCACCCTACGTCCCCCCTGATGCAAAGCCCAGCAACCTGCCACTAAAAAAGCAAGGGTCGGTATTAAAACATCTTCCAATTCCAGGTTAATGCAGAGTGCAATAGAAAAAAAACCAACCAAAAATGACTGCTCCTCTTCTGCAGAAAGTAACCTGCCCTTTGTGAATCAAGTTACCAGACTCATCCAGTGCGGATCATTACTTAATCTCGAGAGCCCGGTCTCTTTGCCAAGCCATGACTCACGGGAAGGCCAGCCCTGAAAATGCATGCCCTTATTGCAGCCACTCCGTGCAAGCAGAGGGAAACCATGCAAAGCAAACAGTATGTGGGGCTGTTTTCTACCCGACGGGGAGAAAGGGGGGACCACGAGAGGAAAATAAAAAATACTTGGCCTTGTTTTTCTGCAACGGTCTTACGGGAGATGTTGAAAGTTATTAAATTCCACATTTTGAAGCTCACCAGGGAAGGTTTTTGTCCCTATCCTCAAGCTATAGCCTGCTTTCAAGCCACACTCCAAGATTTAGCCCTGGCCAGCAGCCAGTTAAATCAACATCCCTGGCTGTTATTGTTTGACTACAAATTTCCTGTGCTGCTTTTCGAGGCAGTACCAGTTTCAGTACTGGTTTCAGTTAGACGGCACGCTCTCTGGAGGCGCGAGCGAGCTGATCTGCAGAGGAAGGGCCACGATTCTGCAATCGGATCCACGGGGCAGCTGTTGAAAACCCAGTAAAATTAGTGGGATGTCACGAAGACATCCCACTAGTTAGCTCAAATTATTGACCGGACTAAAACCTCCGTTAAAATGCAAGGCCCTCCTTTAGATGTTGGGTCTCCCTGCCTCTAAATCACCTTGCAAGACCCGGGGACAAAAGCTATCAGGTTTTCTATACCGCTGGTTTGCAGAAATTGCTCAAGTCGCCTAGCATACAGATGCGGAAAGGAGCCTGCAGGGATCTTACTTCCTGAAAAAGGAACGCCATTAGATTAAGAAGTCGCCCCATCAGGAGGTTAAAATGAATCAAGCCTGCAAGTCTTTCAAAAGGGGATGCATTTCAGATGGCAAATCAAGGGGAAATAAAAGCAGGGCCTTCTGTTACAGCTGGGGAACTCGTCGATGAAAATCTCAGATATTCCTCTTTCTCCACCCGCCTCCCATTAAACATACCTGTTCCTTTCCTAGACGCTCCAAACTGAGCAACGTCTGCCCTCTCGTGTCCCAAGCGCAGCATTACCCAAATGCATCATGCAGCCGTGCCGGAGCGATGATGCCCACGAATGCACAGGTTCTTTTGCTGGTTATTTTTGAGGACAGCTATCTATCTACGTGCAGGGGCAGGAGTCCTGTGCCAGCACAGATCTGTTCTCGTACCCATCGGGTCCAAGACCCCCGAATGCGCCGGACTGCAGAAGAACCAAGAGGAAAGCAACCAGGGAGCACAAAACGGAGCCTCGTGTTCTGCTTCATCCTGACTTTTCGGGGCACTAGGCCGTGCTTGAATAGCCCGGCACGTAAGGAATCTTAAACTTTCATGATGCTAATTAATTGCATCTTGAGAAACCGGTGAGCTGCTTCCTCTCCCGTCTGCAGTCACACAACGGCCAGCTGGCAGGTACGGCGGCTACGAAGCAGAAAGAGAGAGAGGATGCTCGCGCATGAGATATTTTAGTCCTTCTTGAAAATGAATCATCTCGGCCTCCCCTCCACGTTTGCTTCTCAGAGACGCCTTGTGAGTGAAGGCGCTGGATCAGGCCCAGATCAAGGTCCTGGTCCCGTCCCCCTGCTTGACCTCCGGCAAGGAACTTCCCCTAGCGTGCCTCAGTTGCTCCTCGTCTATTAGACGAGCCCTGCCTCTGAAGGTACTGCAAGGATTAACTCATTCATGTGGAAGGCCTTCATCCCAGTGTGAGCAAAGCTGATGGATGCATCATTTCTCCTGCAACTTCTCCCCTTCTCTGAACCTGCAGCCCTGCTACTGGGCTCCCTTCTCCCAACGGGGAGATCTGCTCTGCTAGGTCACTGCTGATCTGTCACGAGCTACGCGGATATTAAACTTGCAGTTCAAGACAGAGATTTCGCCGTACAAACCGGGTGGGGCGACAGAGAGGGTCAAGAAGGGAAAGGACAAGAATAGCTTCTACTTTCTTCCCAACCCAGGATCATCTTTTCTTGGAGGCAGCCCTCTGGCTCGTTTCAAATGGTTTTCACGAGCATCTACCGAGCAGAAGCAATGAGAAACCCCACGTAACCAACTCACCTCCCTGCACTCCCAGCTGGTGCTCCCAGGAAAGTCTGAGAGTCCCAGACGCCTGGGACAGGGCTCTGCATTGCCGCACAGGACTTCCCTTCGCCGCAGACCTAACGCTGGCACCATGCAATCCTCCCACGCTCGCCGTCACCTTCAACTTGGGCTCTTGGCACCTCCCCAGCCAGCCTCGCTCCAACTCCATTTTGCAGAGATGCAGGCTACAAGTGGATAGTCCTCCGACTTCCTGAGACTATGAGAAGAGACATCTAGGAAGAGAGACGTGCTCCCCTCAACACTCGTCCTGCAATCGGTGCCCCTGCGACGCGGCCGAGGGGGGCGATTCAGGTGCCGAACGTACGAGTTCTCTCTGCAGCGAACCCATACGCAACCTCCAACCCAAACCAGAAATGCTGCTGAGATCATTTATTCAGCTTCAGGTGGAGGGAAGAGAGATGGGAGCGTATCCACCCAAGCACGAAGCACTGATGACCTCAAAGACGAGCCTGGAGGAGCCCTGGTCTGGAGCAATACACGCATATCAGCACTACAAAATGAAATGGG